AAAATGGTGTAAATTCCATTGTATATGTGGTTGATTTTTTTGTTATAGTATGTTTCTTAAGCTTTATGGCAACATTTATTCTTATTATGCCTTACAAACTATTCTTTGTGGTAATTTATTTCATTTTAACATGAAAGTGTCAGTTCATGTCTTTAAGCAAATGTAACATTTGATTCCAAGAAAAACAATCAGGTTTTATAGAGATAATTGAGTGTGCGTACGTTTTTTAGTATGTATGTTAATGTTAATGTTACATATTTACAAAAAAATAAGTGTATAGCATTTTTATTTTTCTATAAACTTATTAGCTATGTATTTTCAATAATAATACCAAAATCCATAAAATTTGATGGCAATCCAATGCATATTTGACTTACACACATTTTATATACTAATCATTGAAGTGGCATACACATTATTAAAAATAATAGGGGCTTTATGTTATATAGGCATCTCTACCAATTCATATCGCAACTTATAATTAACTTGTATGCTATATAAAAACCATTTCTTGCATATTCATTTATTTCCAGTATCAAATGTCAATGGGATTTTATGAGTGTGAATATTATTATGTCATTAGACATATATAGGCTACTGTCTCTACTGATGTCATTGGTTCGGGACAATATGACAATGTGTTACTTATGTGGCATTATATTTCACACGTATATTTTATGTATATTTTTTTATCTCACCTCAATTTTTTAGTGATGTGTTTACTTTTATTATTTAACTTGTACAAATTCAACATTTGAAATCCATTAAGCGAGCAAGATCCTAATGACATCACACTACCTCTAGGCGGGCATTATTTTTTATAAAACTACAAGTTTTTTATATTAATTTATCTAATAATACTATATAATATATTAGTTGTCTTAAGCTCATGTAGCTTTTCCTGGATGTTATTATAATAACATGGTTTTATGTACAGACTTGTTAATTTTTGCATAAAATACATGATATGGTTACTTCAGGTCTCGTTGCATAAAGTCATATGCAGCACTTTTTATCGTATTATGCAACGTTGAATAAAAGTGTTGCTCAAGTTATCCAAATGCAACACTTTAACGATCATCATCAACAACATTTTATAATAAAATGCAACACTTAAATATACTTTTATGCAACATTTTTCTTATACTTATGTAACATAGTTATTATTTTCATTTGTAATACTTTTTGCAATTAGGCAACACTTTAATAGAGTTTTATATTTTTATTTCGGATCACATCTGCATTTAAAATAAAACATTAAATCATTTACTATAACTTGTACGGAGTAACATTTTCGAATAATTTTAGTTTCAGATTTAATTTATTTTGAAATACACGCCTATGATAGGCCAACATGAATCCTTAGTCTCATACTGACCCTGTAGCTAGGGGTAGATTATAAGACGTGACTATAATAGGCCAACATGAATCTTAGTCTCATACCAATCATGTAGCTGGGGGTAGATTATAAGACGTGACTATAATAGGCCAACATGAATACTCAGTCTCATTGTGATCATGCAGTGCAAGTCTGTTAGAAAATATAAAATGAAGTCGAACATTGTGCAACTCTACTAAGAAATGAGGATAACAACGATCAAAATGCTTTCATGCCCCTCAATGTGATGGGTAACACATTAGCTCTCTTATGTCTAATACACAATATAATGTGTCGCATCATGTGCTTAGTTAGTTGTTGCATTCGACGCATACAATATTTGCTATTGTGGAGCTAATGGAAGGACAAATTAAACGATTTAGAAAATGAAAATTTTTCCAATGACTTTGAATGATGACATGACTGTGCCTTGTTTCTCTCCACACCACAAATCTTACGACGCAACAAAATATGTCTCATTGATTTTCCAAAAAACAAATATTCATGTATGTGTGTATTCTGATAGACCGTTACATCTGGAAAAGGCTAATTATTGAAGTTGCGGTTGAGTCGATGCAGATAGGGTTCATCCAGTCTCGTCTGGTAGCGCCAACAAGGAGTTGAGACTAAAGACTATCCTGTCCAGTCTCACCGGTATAGCTCAACCTGAGATAGAAAGGGTTGACTGATGCAATTCTGGGTCTCAATGGCAATCTCAGCCTCATATAAGGGCTTCGTCTGAGCAGTAGGGACTACTGGGATCCCGAGCTGGCCCTTCTTTTTTGTAACCCTAGGGCATGTATCAATATATGTCATCATTTATATTTAGGGACAACCCTCTAGAGCCTACACATTAGAGGCGTAATAAATGACCTTTTAGTTACTGTTAAAAATGTAAGCTTCTAAGTTGTATTTGGTTCCTTGATGGCTCTAAAAAATTAATATGCCTTAGAACTTAATTATTAATTACTACGACGAACCAATATGTTTGAAATTAAAAATCCAGATGTAGCTGTTGAAACGACTTGTGCTTCAGTGTTCATAAAACTTATCACTAAAATTAAAATGGTGGTTGACTTTTTATATAATCTACAAGGGTGAATTTTTTTATTGAAAAAGGGTCAAATAAGCTCTTATACTCTCCAATCCGCCATTTAAGTCCTTATACTAAAATAAGTATAATATAAGTACATCTACGTTACAAAATTGATCAATTTGACCATTCAATCAGTTTTGACGTGTAATAGCAGATTTTTAATATTCAAAACTCCAAAAATTTGTTAAACTTTGAAGAAATATATACAAAAATTGTGAATTTTTCAGAATATCAAAGTCAATATTTTTTATTTTTAAAAATATTTGTATATTCTACATCTATTTAAAAGGTTTTTAAATTTTTTATTTTCATTTTTTTTTCAGTTTTATGATATTTATTTTATATTAATATTTTTAAAATTTTATCTATTTTTACATGTATACTATTTTATATTATTATTATATTATTTATTCAAATTTATATGAATTTTTGTAAGATTTATTAATATTCCTAATTTATTTTAAAAAACAACTTGCTATAGCATGTCAAATGACTCGATTGCTTGTATTTTAAAAGTAGGTGTACTTATATAATACGCTTTTTAGATCCGGGACTTAAGTGACATATTGGAAACAGTAGAAGAACTTATTTGATTCTTTTTCCTTTTTTATTTATGGCGTAGTTAATCATCAACCAATACTATAAATAAGGTTTTTTGCGGAACTAGTTTCCGAATCAGATGTGAATGAAATGTTATGAACTAAAAATTAAACAAACAAATAAATACATAATTACAAAACAAAATCAGAGTTAAGGAAAATACTCACTTAGTGTATAGCGTCGGAACGTTTTAGCTCTTTATTTCATCGATGAAGACACCTAAAATAGGCATTTTAAATGCGAAAATACAATTATAGCATTTACATCGATCATATAATTATATTTCCATAAATGACTTAAGTACGTTAAAATATGTTCATGTCGTGATAGGACTACTTTGTAGAAACAATTACTCTAAATATGATTAAAATATAATTACATTTCATAAGTAAGATTAATACTATCTTTATTCCTTGCATAATCTTTTACTTGTCACATATTAAGATTTTTAGAAAGAACTCACTAGGTCAATTAAATATTATTGTGATCATTATTTTAAAAGAGCAACATGTTATTGTTATAAACCTTTCTCTCAATATAGATTTTATTGTACTTAAAACAATTCAAAATTAGAATATCAACGTGTTTTATTTGTAAAAGGACAACTCCTTGATAACTTGTAAAATAACATGAATAAACAGTATTTAATAATCTACTTTTAAGAGAGTATACTCACAACAAATACGCAATTACAAATAAGAAAACTAGGAATATAATATTTATACTGAGTGTTTTTGCACCTAATTAATTTGATCATAGACAATGATGAAGTATATAGTCAAGGGACCCTCGGCCCACATACTTCCACTACTACAATCATGTCCAAGTGGTCCAAACACAGCAACAAGGCCCATGAATGCTCCAGGGGACGTACATCCTTCTGCACATGAAGCTCCCAGGGGACGTACGTCCTCCAGCACATAGAAGGTCCCGGGGACGTACGTCCTCCAGCACTAAAGGCTCCAGAGGACGTACGTCCTCCAACACATTAAAGTCCTCCGGGGTACGTACGACCTTTGGCACATGGCGGTATCCACCTACGTACGGCCTTTAGCACATGGCAGTATCCAGCTACGTACGGCCCTTAGCACATGGCGGTATCCAGCTACGTACGACTTTTAGCACACGACGATATCCGACTACGTACGTCCCCAGCACGCCACCAAGGCCCAAATGGCCCCTGGGTACGTACGGCCTTCGGCACAGACAGCCTTCGGCTCATACATAACCTTCGGCACATGCAACATCCGGGTGCTTGTAGCCGAGGGCACTCTCCTCGACAGGATCTCCTCTCCACATGCTCTGAATCGCCGCATTAAATGCGGTGTCAACTCCAACCACCGCAGTGAATGCGGTGCCACATGCTGTGTCGGCGCCACCCTGGCTGAGTCGACCCTCCACCGTTGATTGCTTGACACGTGTACCCACAGTAATTGCATCAAACATTTATGGCTGCTATAAATAGCAGCCAATTCTCATTGTAATCGATAAGAACAACTTCATTAAATAAATACTCACTCTCTCTCTTACTTATTCTGACATCTGTCTAGATACATCCCCGAATATACCATCCGTCAGACAAGTTTTGTTTGTGTGAATAATTAAAACTGAAAATTTGAAAATAAATCACAAAAATAGCTAATGTTTATGTAGAGACCGGAGACATTGATTTGTGCGCTCACATACTCTATGTTTTTTGCAAAAATATAAATGTATGATTCCACAAACAGTATTGAATAATATATCTGCGCCAGAAATTCATTTTCTATAAAATTGATTTTTTCAAACATTTTATGTCTATGTATCTATTGGCTTACAAGTTGTTGGGGGTAAAAAAGAAAATAAAGACGCGCATGTGGGTAGGTAAACGAAGACGTTTGACTAACGACCCCGATCCCACGCGCTTGAATTTTGGTTACCCAAATTGGAGTGTCGGCTGCATACTCTGCTGACGTGGCACCTCACCCACTACGGTCTGATGTATGTAGCTCGAATCAAGTCGCAAAGGGCCTGTCCCCCAACTCCTATATAATCGCGGCTCCTCCCCATTTCTTCCTTGCCCTTCGCCTCCGATTCCTCCGCTCAATATCCCATTTCCGGCACTTCGAGGTGATTCTTCTCTCCGTCTCCACGACTTTGATCCATTCATTTCTTCGTTAATTGCTTAGATCTAAGTCAAATTGTGCCATTATTGTGAACTCAAGCCCTGCTCAGTTGAGTTCTCTGCTTTTTTTGGTTCCGCTTCTCTGTCCAGTTCGATCAAGTCAGCATATGACTGGCGTTTTATTGATCTTGTTTTACTAGATCTGTGATGCATGGCGAAATCTATTTGTTTGTCTCCCTAAATGCGACGTAGATCTGCTGTTAAAGTTACTCTGTTTTTAAGTTCCAGTTTTTGTGCTTTTCTCACTTCTCTTCCTCTAGATCTGCTAAAAACTTACGCGTATGTACATGTATATTTAGTTATGTTTATGCCGTTTCAATCGTCCCATTTCCCGCCTTTCTGTACGAGTGTGATGCATTTGATTCTGCGTTAATCTTCATTAATTGTCTGGATCCGAGTCGACTAGTCCCGTGTTTTGAACTGAAGTGCTAAAAATAATTATGGAGGCACGGACCACGCCTTATGGAGTCATGACCTTATGAAGTCATATGGGATGAAATGATCTTACTATCATCACTTGGTTTATATAGTGGTGATGCCCCACTATGAGAATTAAGTTATGCTGGTTAGATCTTTTTGCTTATATGACTCCATAAGGAGTTATATACCGATATACTCAAATGGTTCCACAGTTTTTGATAAAGTGCTGCTTAGTTGAATTTTGTTGGTATTATTTGATTAGATCTTTGATGTATGGTGCAATCTATTTCTTGACTACCTAAAAGCCATGTAGATCTGCAGCTTCAGTTAATTTAGTACCAGATTGTATGCTTCTCTCACTGCTCTCCTGCTGGTTGTGCAAAACACTTGAAGTTTATCAGTACATGTATATGATCTCTTCAGACTAGTTTTCCAAATCACACTTTACACAGTACAGCTTGAAACTTATCCGTATTTTTTGTAGTTTCTATTTGATTTCCTGGTGTTGATATTATATTACTTTCTTCTTTGACTTGGATCATGAACTGGTTGTTTCACGATCATAGAAACTTTCTGATCCATTGCTGGTTTTGTTTTCTCATTAGTTTATCCTTGCAGCCACCAGATCAAAAGAAATGGAAACTTTCTTGTTCACATCCGAGTCTGTTAACGAGGGTCACCCTGACAAGCTCTGCGACCAGGTCTCTGATGCTGTTCTAGATGCTTGCCTCGCTCAAGACCCCGACAGCAAGGTGGCTTGTGAAACTTGCACCAAGACTAACATGGTCATGGTTTTCGGAGAGATCACCACCAAGGCTGAGGTCGATTACGAGAAAATTGTGCGTGACACTTGCCGTGAGATCGGTTTCGTGTCAGATGATGTAGGATTGGACGCAGACAACTGCAAGGTCCTTGTTTACATTGAGCAGCAGAGCCCTGACATTGCTCAGGGTGTGCACGGTCATTTAACAAAGAAACCGGAGGAGATTGGTGCGGGTGATCAGGGCCACATGTTTGGGTATGCCACAGATGAGACCCCTGAATTGATGCCGCTCAGCCATGTCCTCGCAACCCAACTTGGTGCTCGTCTCACCGAGGTCCGGAAGAACGGAACTTGTGCTTGGCTTAGACCCGACGGTAAAACCCAAGTGACCGTGGAGTACTATAATGACAATGGTGCGATGGTTCCCGTTCGGGTCCACACTGTTCTCATCTCCACTCAACATGATGAGACCGTGACAAATGATGAGATCGCACGTGACCTCAAGGAACATGTCATCAAACCCGTGATCCCTGAAAAGTACCTTGACGAGAAGACCATCTTCCACCTCAACCCGTCGGGCCGATTTGTCATCGGTGGGCCTCACGGTGATGCCGGGTTGACTGGCCGGAAGATCATTATTGACACATACGGAGGGTGGGGCGCTCACGGGGGTGGTGCTTTTTCAGGAAAAGATCCTACAAAGGTGGATAGAAGCGGGGCTTATGTGGTCAGGCAAGCCGCTAAGAGCATTGTCGCTAGTGGGCTTGCGAGGCGATGCATTGTGCAGGTCTCATATGCTATTGGTGTGCCGGAACCGTTGTCTGTGTTTGTGGATTCCTATGGGACTGGAAAGATTCCGGACAAGGAGATATTGAAGATTGTGAAGGAGAGCTTTGATTTCAGGCCGGGGATGATTGCCATCAACTTGGACCTCAAGAGGGGTGGGGACAGGTTCTTAAAGACGGCTGCTTATGGTCATTTTGGTAGGAATGATCCGGACTTCACATGGGAAGTTGTGAAGCCTCTCAAGTGGGACAAGCCTCAACAAGCTTAAAAAGGACATGGCTAGCTAATGGATTGCTGCCTCAACTACTCTACCAAACACTTCAAGGCCTTTACCCCAATATATGTTACAGAGTAGTACTTAATGGATTGCTCTCAATTCCGTGTGTTTTGTTTTTTTTTTAATAATTTTAATTCTGTGTATTCTTTTAGCTTTTCTGGGGTGAATGGGGAAAGTCCATTGTTGTTATTTTTCGTGCAATAATTATGCAATTATACTACTGTTGTTGGTGTTGAACCGTCTCAACTATGACAAGGTACTCTGTAACTTTGGCTCCTATGTACTCACTATTTTAGAATTCATTATTTCCTTCGTATCAACTTAAGTTTCTTGTCAGTTTAATCCTAAATGATAAATTAATCATCCATAAACATGTTACCTTTCCATTAAAATTATCTTTTAAAAGTATACTTGAATTACTTGATCTGCCTCTGCTCATCAGTCATCAGTGTCCTGAGATAGTGAGATGCAAATATCCCGGTAATGAGATACTACGTAATTACCTAATTTACCTATTCCGTTGTCCATACTATAGATTCCTGGTACTAAAGATTCCTGGTTCAATAACCAAAGAATCACCGCAACTTTTGTGTGTGCAAAAAGCGGAATGCCATTTATATACCTTTTGTAGACTATCTATACAAATAATCTTTGATACACGTAGACAGTTTTTGGACAAGTTGTCTATATAAACAATGTCAAAACTCGTATGCAGAAAACTCGTATCCACATTTTCTAATATTTTTATACACATTTTTATAAAACTATAAATTTATATAAAGTATAAATTAAAATTCATTTATAAAGTATAAATTAAAAAAAATGTATTTAACCCGTCCGGTCCGGCGGGTGGTCCGACCCGTGACCCGGGCAGGTTGCCCGGCCCGAACCGGAACAGCCTTTACCGCGGGCCGGTCCCGGGCCCTCTTTTCACAAACCGCCGGCTCGACCGGGCCCGAACCGGCCCGAGTCCAAGTCTAGTTAGGGGTGCGTGACCTACTACGGTCTCCTTTTAAGGTGGCCTTAATAATATAATTGTTGTCTTTTATTGAAGGATAGAAAAAGATCTACATACAAAAGGATGTTTGGAAACAACTGTTTTTAGTGTTTGAGTTTTGAACTGGCTTTGGCTATTTGCTGTGTCAAATAACTATTTTTAATGTTTGGTGATCCGCTTTTTTATTTGACGGTTCGACGTGAAAAAACAAAAATAAAAAAATGCCTTTGAGTACCTATTCACAATGTTTTTTATTTTATATTTGAAAATGCTAGTATACCCTTCAATTCTATCTCATTCTTAAATTTTGTCGCAAGTATTCAGAAGTAAAACTATTAAATGAAACAAAATAAAACACTAATGACAAGGATAAAAAGTTTAAAAAACATATTGTTGCTGCTTTACAATATTATTTTATAAACTAGTAAGGATAAATGTTGATGGATAGTGTACCCGGGGGTAGCTTATCCGAGGGGTTATTACGGGGAATAACTTAAAGAGAAGTCAGAGCAATAAGTAAGAGAGAGAATATATATTCGAGTATGGAAAGTTGTGTTTCGTAATACAATGGAAATGACCGCTATTTATAGTAGTAATAAATGCTAGGCAGGGACACGTGTCAAGCATCTGACGGCCGAGGGTCACCTCAATCGTGGTGGCACCGACACTGGCATGTGCACTGCATTAAATGCGGTGGTTGGGTGTGACGTTGTACTTGACGCGGTGATTCAGCGCATGTGGGAGAACAAATCTTGTCGAGAAGAGCGCCTTCGGCTGTATGTACTGGGGTCGAAGGCTTCACATACCGGGGGCATTATGTGCCGAAGGCTTGGTTTTCGAGCTTTGTTCTCCTGTGATGTTCCTGGGTTTGATTTTATGAGTGCACAACCTTTGGGCATGGGGCCGAAGGCATATGTCACGCATTATGGGCCATTTGGGGTCTCGTTAGCTGGGCTTGGCTCATTTGGGCATGTTGGGCCTAACTGCAGTAGTGGGAGTATGTGGGCCGGGGGTCCCTGGGCCATATACTCCATCAGGAGTTCCTCACTCCTTTTGCCGAAAAGTATTTGAGGGAAAAGGAGTAAATGTTGTGAAGTTGCTGGTGGCTGCTTTGTTGTAGTTTGCAGAGTAGTGAAACATTTGTGTTTGCGCTTTTTGGCGAGGACAGTCCCCCAGTCCCCCACATTTTGGGACTGAAGGCTTTTGTTGGTGCCTTGAGAAAAACTTTCAACTTTTTGTTATTTTCCGGAGGGATTCTCCAGTCCCCCACTCCTTGAGGCACATGTAATGGGGCGAAAAGAAGTAGAGTAATGCATGTCTTCAGTAGAGAGCCGAGGGCTGACGCCTTTTGCTTCATTTTGGGGAGATGCCTCGTTAAAAACCTCATTAGAAAAAAACCTGTGGGAAAAAATCCTAATGAGGGAAAAAGAGTGCACCGGATGCCCCCGAAATGAAGTAAAGAGGTGAACCCTTCGATCTGATATGAAGGATAAAGCTGGGGCCGAGGGCCATTCATGATCTGTGGAAAGTGGCCCCGAAAAGTCGGGGGCTGCTTGTGACCTGAGGGCATCAATGCTGAGAGTCGAAGCTAGGCTTCTTGGGAACTGGGGCGTGACCGTTGCTGATGGATGTAGGTGATTATTCTGGTGCTTTCGAGGGGAGTCTCCCAGTCTTCCATACATTGAGGGATGGGGGCTAACCTTCGATGAAGGCGTTTGAATGTGAGAGCCTGAGGGGTTGCTTTGATGTTGTCTGAAAGTTGACAACTGAGGACACCTCTGGTTTTCAAAAATAGCCGTTGGGATATGACCGTTGGAGAAGACGTCCACGTGGCGCGTGTTGGCTGGCTGTATTGGGCGGGTGGCACCAGTTGGCTGAGGCTGCGGTTAGCGGTGACGAGCTTTCAACTGGTGGCCCGGTTCTCGGCCCAAGTCCTTAGGCTGGGAGGCTATAAATACCCCTGGCCTGGCTCATACTCCTTGCGCGATTCTGTTGTAGCGAAGCTCTCGCAAAAATTTCTAGAGAGAGAAAGTGCTTGTTTGATCAAACCCTCACTTTCAAGGTCAGTTCATCCTCCTTTCTTGCTGTTGTTCGCACTTCTTGCTTCGCTTCCCTTATATCTAGTGTTAGTCCATTAGGGAGCCTTCTTTCTCCCCCCAATTCCTTTCTTCTATAGTTCCGAAAGATGTCGTCTGAGAGCAATTCACAAGATATCTCGAGGGAGCCGTCAGTGCAATCTGAGACCTGGTCGGATGAGAGATCCGCTAGTAACGAGGCCTCGCCCCAGGATGACTCTGCAGTAGCAAAGGAGGTGCAAAAGGACCTTGTAGCCAAGGTCGAGGCTGAAGATTTTGAGCAAGTGAACGATGACGAGGAACTGGCCCTCGCCGTTCAAACTGCGGAAGACGAAGAAGAGAAAGAGCGCCGAGAGGTGACTATCGCTATTCCCTCGGCCATTGCCATTGGGGAGGGGACTTCACGAGTCCTCAACCCGGAACCCCTCAGAGCTGCACCCTCGGCAAAAAGTAAGAAGAAGATGAAGGCCCCTCAAAAGAAGAAGCAAAGTGCGGCAGACTGTGGCAAGCTAGTGGGAATACCTGAGGGTCATTCCTTTCTGAATACTGCTGCCCTCGTGATACGTCCATTTTTGTACTTATTTTTCTCATCATATTTGAGCGATTTTCAGATAGAAAATAGAAAAACAAGGCATGTTTTAGATATTTTGGTTCAAGTTTCATGAAATCAGGTGAAAACCGCATTCATTTTTTTTGGATGAAAGGTAATTATATTAAACACCCAAAAAATAACATCATACAATGTATCAAAGCATTCAGAAACACACTATCTAAGCTAGGATTAACTAACCTAGATATAACCTTCCCAACCAACTAAATCTGTAAATACCAGGACAGTCCCCTGGATATCATACTCAAAATAAACTAGTCTGAGGGAAGAAAACCCTACTAATCTGAACAACATCTATAACAAGAAAAACTTCTCCTCCCATCTTTATCCCGCACTCAGATTTTTAGGTCTGAGCGGCTTGGTAGTATCCGTAACCAGCTAAGCGGGTCCTCTTCCTCAGGGGTTGGCATATTCGGGTCCACTGTTGGTTCCCCCAAACCGTGTTGCACGATCCCATCCACCCTATGTGCATCATGCGATGCATTCTCCGCCACCAGTTCCTGGGTCGGTGCCGCCATGACATCATCCTCCGCCCTACCTGCTGCTTCCATAATTCCACCTGATTCCACCAGCTTTAATTTTTCTACCTCAACCCCTTCGGGTTCCTCTTCTCTGTCCTCGTTGGATACCACTTGGGTAGTAGAACAGACCTCAATAGTTGCAATCATTTTGTTAATATTGTTTTTTTCTTCCTCTTCCTTGTCATGTAGAATTTTTTCTGTTTTTTCCTTCTCATGTAGGTTTTTGAAAATAAATGGGTGATGCCCATATTCTTTGCAATGAAAACAAAAGTTAGGGAACGTCTCATACACCACAGTTTGGTTGACTACTTTACGGGAAGGTAGTCTTATAGGAAATGATAGTGTCGGTGGTTGGGAGACATTCACCTCAATCAGGACCCTAGCATAGTGATGGTTGCTCCTATCTTGGGTTACTTTATCCGTGGATAGTGGAACTCCAACCATGGAAGCAATCTCACTTATAGCTTCCTCATTCCAAAGCTTCATGTTTAAGTTGGGAAATTTAACCCAAATGGGGACCTTAAGGAATTCATCATCATCAAATGAGAAGTCCACCGAGAGAGCTTTTAGCATTAATTGTATACCATAAATGGTATACGGTCCCCCCTTCAAAACCTTTTGTCTATCTTCATCATTATGAAATTTAAAGATAACCCACCCCTTTTCATGGGTTTTCACATTGCAACTCACACCCCAAGTATTTTTCAATTCATAGATGGCCTTAAGCCCGGGGTGTTTTCCGGTAAATTGTCCAACAAGGCAAAACCCCCACATTTGAACCATGGAGGGGAGATTCCTATCAACAAAGTCTAAAGAGTTGCCTTTTGGCGGGATATACCTCAGTTTTATACCATTTGAGGGATCCCGGTTGTCTTTGAACAGTGCATTCCAAGGTCTGGCAGCGGGCTTCTCCCAGTTGGCAGTAGTTTTAGTTGACTGCCCAGTTTCCAGCTCTCCTACAATCCCCTTTGTGAGCATAATGTTACTGGCAGTAACATTTGAGGCATCCAGGTCCTTCGTAGCAGTTCCCTTGCCAACTGGAGCAGCAATTTGGGGTTTTTGTGCAGTAGTCCGATGCCCAGTCTGGACAGGTTTTTGTGCAGTAGTCCCAGCCTCAATATTAGTAACAACAGAAGTCCCATTCTGGACAGGTTTCACAGCATAAATTCCTGCATTTAGGGTCGGAGAC